TCATTGTAGATATCTCTTATCTTGGTCTTAATTTTCTCTGTGTATTCTCGAACCATCTGCTGTTTTTTCTCAGCACTCTGTCTTTTGCTCAATACTTGAGACACCCTGCAAGATGACCTATGGGCTCCTACAACATTTTTATAAGAAGAACCGAGAGAAGATTCCTTTCCTCGTTGGACAAGTCAGCTCCTTGCTCAGTTACAGATTTCATGCAGGCCGCTGCATCATCATGTCGCTCAGCCTGCTCGGCCAGTTTGGCCTTCTGCTCCAGCTCATTTTTATCTATGATTTGGCAGTTCTGTGTTTGGACAGGCTGGTATTTGCTTAGGAAAAAGATGTATTTATCTGTGGACTAGAATAGAGTTTCCAGAAAATATTTTGAATACATCTGGACATCTAATATATGATAAAGTTGGCAATTCAGTTTAGTGGAAAATAGCTTATTTAGTAAGTTATATTGATACACTTGCCTCTCAATATAGATGAAAATTGTTAGAGTCATACTTTATACCATACAAAATATAAATTTTAAAAGAGTTGAGAATATAAATATAAAATATCAGCCTATGAAAAAATAAAAACTAGGGAACAATATTTGAATGTCCTCAGGATGGGGGAGATCTTTAACAAGACAAGAAACTCAGAAGTCATTAAAAAAAAAAAAAGAGCAGCTTTGACTATATAAATGTTAATTATGGCAAAAGTCATAAGCAAAGTCAAAGATATACAATAAGCTTGGTAAAAATATTTGCATTATATGCGATGGCATGTACTCTGATTTTAAAAGAGGTTCTACAAGATGAGAAAAAAAAGTCAGACAAGCAGAACATAGAAGAGGCCAATAAATAGGAAGGAAAGTACAACCTCACAGAGAGCCAAGTGTGTAACAAAATAAGAGTGAGATACAGTTTTCATTGCTCTCACGAGAATTAGAAGGGATTGATCACATTCAGACGAGGCAAGATTGTGAAATGCAACAATCTTCAGAAAGTAATCTGGCAGTATCCGTTAAAATAAAAAAACACAGACTTTCGACATAGTGATTCCACTTTGGAGAATTTACTCTACAGAAATAAAAGAATTATTTCCAGTGAAATATGTACAACAATGTTTATTATAACATTAATTATATTGACAAAAGACTAAAAACAACTTATCCATCATTAATGAAGTGATTGAAGAAATTATGGCATGTTTAGATTATGGCATACTTTACAGTTCTCTAAAAGAATGAGTTTGAATGTATTGATCTGAGAGGCTGTTCATGGTATATTAAGTGGAAAAAAAAAGCAACCAAGTTGCAGAGTAAAGTATATTTCCTTTAATGAGAAAAAAAATTTTAAATCCTATTTATAGAGCAAGCAAGCATGAAATACGACTGCTTAAAAGAAAAAACAAAAGAGGAGTAGAGATGTATACAAATATTTGTAAATTATGTAAGTCTGGGTGTCTAAAAGGGGCATCAAATAGCTAAATATTTGCTCCTTAAAATTTTACTCCTTTGTCCTGGGAAGAGCATGATTTTATAGAAAGTCTGTGTTCTTCTGGCTTGCTATTGGAGGTGTCTATCATTAGAATTAAGTGTAAAGGGGTCATTTCACCAAGATTTTCCTGAGGTTCACCTGCAGGTACATGACATATGTGGAAGGCAGAGAGAACATTTTCATAGCACCAGTGTGTTGCTGCATTGGTTCCTTCTTTGATCATCCATTTATTCAGTAAGTATTTATTAGCTCTTGCAATGTGCTGCAGCATGAGCCCACACCAGGTCCTGGGAATGCAGAGGCCTTGCTTTCATAGGCCGGGTAACAATGAGATAGATTGTCTCATAGGCGGGGTAATTAGATAGAAGCATTGGTGATATATACTCATATTATGAAGAGGAATGATGGATGAATTGTAGGTCCAATAAAGTGCTGGAGGACCCTCGCTGTCTCTGCAGAAGGCCTCAGACATACGAAGGATCTCCTTCCCCTCCTTTGTAGGGCAGGAGGGTCGTCTGCTTCTCAGTCTGTGGGTCATTTGTGCCATGGACTCAGATTGAGCATGTACTATGTGCAAGGCAGGCTGGTGTGAGAACTTCAGTGAACATTAAAAAGTTCTCCAGACTTTCTGTGCCTGGTGTTTAAGTGAAGAAACTCTTGCTTTGCACCCTGAGTTTGTGTGGTGTGATGTTCCATTTGTTTTTCCTCATTGGGTAGAGCCGTGCTAATAGTGTCTGTAAACAGTTTGTACCTAAACAGATGGTGTAATTTTTTTCAGCAATTGAAAGATAAAATATATTGCTGAAGGGTATCTCATTTCCACTTTTCTTATTTTGCCTAATTTTAGTCATTCATTCTTTCACTGGTCTGTCACCCAGATAGGTATAAAAGATAGCCTGAGCTTGGGAGTTGGGAGTGGGGGGTGAGAGATGGAAAGAATAGATTTGGGGTGGAAGGTAGCAAAATATGGGGCAAGGGAATGGCACTTAGTCCTCTTCTTGGGTTGTCATTCTCCCTGACGTTTTGTCGGCATTCAGCCTTCATTTGGGAGCTCTCTTTTCTTAGCTTTCATGAAATGTAACTTTCCTTTAATTAAAAACTTATTTTTAATTGACAAATTTAAAATTATGTATATTTATGGTGTACAGCGTGGTGTTTTGCCTGCCCACTTCTCTGTGCTTTCTCCACAAGCACCATGGGCTTGTCTTCCTCTCCCCAGTTCAGAGCAGGGGAGGCCTTTCTGAAGCTCTGCTTCCTGAAGTTATGTATTTTAATATTTTAAATATTAAAATATTTAAAGTAGTAACTGTTGTTATTAGTCAATGTTTAAAATATTAACTATTAGTGTAACTAAGTGCTTTTCTCCAATTAAAAACATAAGGACTTTAAAAATTATGTACTTAGAAAAAAACCCAGCATATATTGCAAACTTAATAAGCAATAACTTAGTTTATATAATGCAATAACAGTATGGTAATTGTCTTAGTCTATTTTGTGCTGCTATAACAGAATACCTGAGACTAGGTAATTTATCAAGAACAGAAATTTATTTTCTCATAGTTCTGGAGGCTGGTAAGTCCGAGATCAAGATGCCACCACTCAAATGGTGGAAGGCAGAAGGGCAAAAAAGGGACAAACTTCTTCTATCAAGCCCTTTTAAATGACATTAATTCATAAGGGCTCTGCCCTCATAACCTAAACACCTCCCCAAAGCCCCTGCCTTCCAACACTGTTGCATTGGAAGTTTCCAACACATGTATTTTTGGGGAAGCATTCAGACCATAACAGTAGTCAAGATACACACAGTCTTAGAAGACTCTAAACCAAAGGACTACCCCTGCCTCTGCCCCTACCAGACATTAGGTACTTGTAAATCCTTAAGATCTGTGACACTTAAAACTTGTTAGCCTTTTTTACTTGGAGACAGTTAATTGCAAAAATGACAAATATAAACCAGTTGTCTATTAGAAATCTTTCCAGGTTTATTCCTCACAAAGACCAAATCTCGGTTCTGATATTCTCATTGGTTTTCCCGGTAAGCTGTGTTGCATGGCTGTTGGCTGGACTGTTTTGATTTGGCTCATCCCGCTCACAAACCCACATGTTACTTCCCAGCGTGGCCCGATGTGTGTCTTTAGTGATGACGGTGGCTGTGTACTGAGTTTTTCTTTGCCTACCCAGGAGACTTGCACTGGATGTCCTGCTGTCACCTCTAACTTAACAAACCCCTCAAATTGATGCCAGGTGACTCGGTTCTTCTGTCCTTCACTTCTGCTTTCCACCCTGGGTTTGTGTTCTGTGATATTCCTCTTGCTTTTCCTCATTGGGTAGAACGGTGCTAAGAGTGTCCATAAATAGTCCTGAAGCCTAGAATCTACGATTTACTCTAATTTATCACTCTACTTCAATTCCAGTTTCTAATCGTAGGATCACAAGTCTCAGAATTGGAAGAGAATTTTTAATTCAGCCTAGTATCTCACATCAATTCCTTTTCTCTGTGGTTCTGTACCCTCCCTTGCCCTATTCAACTTGCTGTGTCTGAGGGTCAGTGACTGTGGGAATCTTATGGCATGTGGTGTTTGGGTGACTTCTTCTTGACAGATATTTAATAGCACTTCACACTGGGCAGGGACCTAGTCAGCTTTGTGGCATTTTAACTTGCCCAATTCCAATCATCCTGTACCAAAACTAGACAAAGACATCACAAGAAAACTACAGACCAAAATCCCTTATGAATATGTATGCAAAAATACTCAACAAAATGCTAGCAAACTGAATCTAGCAGCACACAAAAAAAGGATAATACACCATGACCAAGTGGAATATATCCCAAAATATACAAAATTCAATGTAATACATCATATTAATAGAATAAAGGACAAAAAGCCATAAAAAAATGAAGTTCTGATATATGCTAAAACATGGATGAACCTTGAAAACACCATGCTAAGTGAAAGAAGCTAGACACACAAAAAAGGCCACATGTTGTATGATTCTATTCATATGAAATGTATAGAACAGGCAATCCTATTAAGACGGAAAGTCGATTCGTGGTCACTAGGGGCTGGAGGAAGGAGGGAATGGAAAGTGACTGCTAATGGGGTCAGAGTTTCTTTCTGGAGTGATGAAAATGTTCTGGAAATAGTGCTGTGGTTGCACAATCTTGTGACTATATTAAAAATAGCTGAAGCTGGCTGGTTAGCTCACTTGGTTAGAGCGTGTTGCTAATACCAGAAAAAGAATCCTATAGCACCTAGCAGAATGTTTAGAGCAAGTAGATGCTCAAAGAAATATGAGTTAATTGATGGATGACAAGAACTAGAACTGCTGGAAATCTTCTTCTAGGCCACAAATATAGCCATTATTTGTTGAATAATAGGAGAGAAGCTAGCTCCAAGTAGCTTACTCCATGTAATCTCTAAGAAATTGTATCTCAGGAGTTGCTTTTGGCAAAGACTAAATTTTTAATTTCCAACTCTCTCTCCTCCTAAGCATCACTTTAATTTTTACTTTCAGCATCAGTATGACAACCTGTTCTACAGTGGCTGCCCTGGGAATGATGCCACTCTCCCTTTATCTCTACACCTGGTCCTGGAATCTTAAGCAGAATCTCACCATTCCATATCAGAATATAGGTCTGTATTGGACTTGTGAAATGGGGTAGTGATAGTAATGGTGATGGTACTAATCAATGCTATTGTTAATTATATATATCTCTTCGTACAGGAATTTTTTTGTATTATCTAATTTAATTCCCTGAATAACTGTACAGTATAGATTCTATTACTAGTCCAATTTTCTAGATGTTCAGGCTTAGAGAGGTTAAGTAACTTGACCAAGATTGTGTAGTTGGTAAATACAGAATTGAAATTTTAACTCTGGAATCTGACTGAAAAGTCCAAGCTCTTAACTCTTAATGAACAAGAGTTCATTTTTGAAAATAAAACCAGAGAATTTTCTTAAAAAAAAAACAACCCGAAAACAAAAACAAAAACACCTTCATATAATCAGACTATAAAGTAATTGGACTCTTTATGATCCAAAGTTTAACTGGATCTAGTGGCTCTAATTAGGCCTTTTTTCCCACACCTTCACCTTCACATTGCCTGTGAGCCTTGACTTTTTTTTTTTTTAAACAGATTGAACGTAAAAGATTCCTCCTGATTATTAAAGCTCGTCCTTGTCACAACCACACCCACATCTCTTTCATTATCTCCTCTCCTGGATGTTTTTCCTTATTAAGCTCTGCCCTTTTTCTAAAGATCTCCAGGGACTTCCTAGATTTGGAAGAGAAATATAGTGAAATGATCTGCCTGTGCTAGTTTGGTCAGAGCCTTTGGAGAAGTGATAGAAACTATGATTCTTAAAACTCTGAAGTGTCAGTCTGGACTCTCAAGCTTACAACCTATGACCTATCACTCAAAATTATGATTAGAGCCATCCCCTGATAATAGCTGGACCCCAGTGAGTAAAATTTGAGTGAAACCTTAATCTAGAAACCATGATTTTATGTACAACTTTTTCTGATTAGTAAATTACTTAATATATTCTGTTTTGATAATCTGTTCTGAAAGGTACTCACAAACCATTAAGACCCAAAATGTTATGAGCAAGTCATATAACTTTGGAGCCAGTATTGTAGGCACTTGGCCAGATTTGGAAAGCAGAACTGGAAAATGTCACTGGATGGCTCCTATTGGCAAGTGGACAGCCACCTCTGCTCTACTGAGCCTACCTTCAATCCTTTATTCACTGGTGCTAATTACAAAGGCATTTTTTTCCACCCACCTGGGGGTAACCTGGCTACACTTGGAAAATATGAGAAGTTACTTTGGTGGTATAACAAATGCTGTTTTTATGTCTGTAATAGGTACTGTTTATTTTGTGAAGCAAGTGACCCATTGGCCTCAGATAGGGAAATAATAGCTATGGTTAAGGAAGGTGACACCCATATATACAACCAAGGAATTTCACAGACTTAAAATGATCCTCTTGTTTTCTAATTACATTTTTGGTTGTCTCCAAAATTCCATGTGATTGTTAGAGGGATTCTGAGAGAGAAATGGTGGCCCAGGTATGGTGGCATGTATTAGCATCATATACCCTTCAAAAACTGTCTTTCCAAGATTTTATTCATTTTTTATTTTTGGAAATGGATGCAGGAGAAAAATGTAGCTTTAGTAAAGCTGTTGAGGTGGCTGGTTAGCTCAGTTGGTTAGAGTATGATAATAGCAAGTTGGTTAGAGCTGGTAATAGCAAGGTCCAGTGTTCAATCCCTGTACCAGCCAGCTGCAGAAAAAACAAAACAAAACAAAAATAATAAAGATGTTATCTAATTGAAATGGAAATTGTTGAGAAGAATTGGGCAGTTACGGTGGGAGGGATAATGTCTGATGGATTTTCTTTCTCTTTAGGAATTACCCTTGTGTGCCTGACCATTCCTGTAGCCTTCGGTGTCTACGTGAATTATAGGTGGCCAAAACAATCCAAAATCATTCTCAAGGTGAGCAGTTCCACGTCACAGTTAGCAAATGCTCAGACTCAGAGACATGAAAGACAGAAGTTGGCTGAGTAAACAAGCCGATCAAATACAGCCCCACACCCATCAGTGTTCCTGACGTGTCCTGCGGTTTTGCATGCAGCCCTTGTGTTTCCTCTGCCCCTATAAACCTTGTCCTGTTACTCCCATAGGCCCATGAACTGAGGCTTATGACACCCTGGACAACGTGGGACACTTGACTTAGTGACAGAAAGCTAAGGCATGTGTGTGAACAGAGAGAGCCCAAGCCCGTCCATTCCCAAGGCTTCACACAGGCGCACTCAAGGGGAAAACTGAGCAAACGTGCACGAGATGGACCCCAGCGTTTACGAACGTGGCTGGTTCCCTGGAAAAGCAGGGCAGAGGGCTGTCTTGCAGAAGCATTCTTGGGGGCAGCTTCAAGTTGTAGTTTGTACACATGGCAAGGGCTGCTGGCTACATGAGTAAGACTGTTTAAATGAAATCATCCAGAAAGCACTGAGGAGTGTATCTGTGGAATGATCGTAACTGGAACTTCCTACCCGCTCTTGATTTGCAGAGTTGTCTTTTGTTTGCCGGAGAGACAGGCAAATGTTTTTGATAAATGGATTTTAAAAATACCTAGCTACAGAGAAGGCATTCTCAGCAATGATGTCAATCTCCTACAGTGTTCTTCATTTTTCTGATTATTTATCATTTTAGTGAATATAAGATTATTATATGTGCTGCTTTCATGAAGATTTGAAAAATGTTTTAGTTATAGTTTCCATTTATAAAGAAATAAACATTTGGGTTAACTGGAAGTTCATCAGGTAAATCTCAGTTAATTTTATTGGGGTTCATGGTTTGGTTCAGGTTAAGCTCTTGCTGTTTGGCTCTACGTGACCCAATGCTGCCACTCCATTTGCCTGCATAAATGGATGCTGCTTTCCCGGTTTGGCCCAAGATTGAACACCTCTCACTATTCCCCCAGCACGGTGGAGAGCAAGCAGACGAACAGGCGGGCACAGAGGGCTGGAGAAAGCTGCCGTGTCGTGCATTTGGATTGCATGTGGATGACCTTAGCACAGAGAGTGCACACTTGATTTGCACTCTCTTTTTCCTCTGTACTCATGGAGTAATGTCCCTTCTTTTCTACACTTATTATTGTAATTTTCAACTGGAGAAAACAAGAGGAGAGGGTATTATCATGGCAACTCCTTACTTTTCAAGTACTCTATCTTACATTTCTTTCTTCTTTTTTTTTTTGGTGACTGGCTGGTGGGGGGATCTGAACCCTTCACTTTGTGACCTTGATGATAAAATACCGTGCTGTAACCAGCGGAGCTAATGGCCAGCCCCCAGTTACATTTCTTAAAAGGACATTGAACAGCAACACATGATTGAACAACAAGATCATGATTTTGGTGTTTCCAGATCCTCTATTAATCTACAAGTGTCAATGGAGAAACCAGATAAATTTTCTGTACACCAGTTTTATTATTTGTTAAAGAGCAGATTTAAAACTCCTTTCCTTTGGCTATTCCTTAGGATTTGTGGCAAAAATATTTAATATTCTAGAGCACTGTATTAGTCTGTTGCCTGTCGCTGAATCTGTTCTGAAAGGTACTCACAAACCGCTGATAACAGGATACATGAAATTGGGTAATATATTTAAAAAACGAAATTTATTTCACAGTTGATTAGAGTGCGGTGTTGTAACATCAAGGTTGAGGGTTCAGATCCCCATACCCACCAGCTGCAAAAAATAAAAAGAAAGAAAAAGAAAAAAAGAAAAAAGAAAAAGAAATTCATTTTCTACAGTTTTGGAGGCTGGGAAGTCCATGGTCTAGGGGAGCCACTTCTGGTGAGGGCCTTCTTCTGGGTGGAACTCTGTAGTCCCATGGCGACACAGGAAATCACATGGCCAGTATGGCAAGAGCTCTTTCACGTGCTCTCTTTATAAAGCCACCAGTCCACACCCATGACAACACATTACTCCATGAATGGACTAATCCATTCACAAGGGCATAGTTTTCATGATCCGGTCACCTCTTAAAGGCCCACCTCTTAACCCTGCCACACTGGGGATCAAGCTTCCAATGTGAGCTTTGGAGGGGACAAACATTCAACCCATAGCAAGCACCTTAGTAAAAAACCAGGCTAATTTAATCATTATTTTAGGATAAGTCCATTCTCTGTTCTTAGTCCTATTTTAATTTTAGATCTGACACATTTTCTGAACAAACTTCAGTTTTTCTCATTTCCTCTTGGTGAATTTTAAACTGAAATTCCTTTTTGGTAGAAAGAGGAAGGGGAGATTTTACAATGAGAGGCTTTCTTTGTGTGTTTCAGCATCTCCCCGATAGGCAGGGGCTCAGTCTGCCCCTGTATTTGAACAGTAAAACTGGCCCCCAGAGCACATCTATGATACATTTGTTTGTTTTGTTTATTTTTTGTTTCTTTGGTTCCCCATGACCACCTTCCTCCATACCCTGAGTCATTTCAAATCAAGTGTGCTGTTGACATGGCATGAATGGAAGCTTGCCAAGATCTTGATTTTCCCAAATTGTCCCCACCCGTGTTTTCTTCCTATTTGATCTAAAACTCAGAGTGTTGGAATTTTGTTGTTGATTTTTTGTTTCAGTTTTTGTTCAACAACATAAATAAGAGACAGTATTTATTTGGGAGAGGACACAGGTCTCTGTCAGATTTCTCCTATTACGTTAATCTTAGCTCAGATTGTCTAATGGAGGATAGGTACGTTTCATTCAGAGGAGAGAAGGGCGGGGATCAAAGCAGTAGGAGCTGCTGGTGGTTGCGGGGATGGTGGGAGGAGAGGCGACCGTCAGGCAGCGCAGACCTGAGACAGGAGCCTGCCAGCGAGGAGTCTTAGGGGTGTGTGTAGGGGCTTCGGATACTTATTGTCAGATTCCATTTAATTTACAGTTTGTCCTATCCACAAAAAACTCTACTATCCAATCCTTCTGGCCAAATCCTCTGCTTGAAGGGGAAAGTTATTGATCATAAAATAAGAAGACTTTGATTTATGTCAAACCCCATCAATTTCTAGCGTAGCCAAGACACTTAACCACTTTGGAGCTCAGGTTTCTCCTGTACAAAATGAAATTGGATTCAGTGGTCTCTAAGTCTCTTCTTTGTTCTCAAATTTCTAAGTTCCAAGCCTTTTAGAGCCTTGATGGATTTTGCCTCACAGAGTAAAAAACCCACAATGTTTACATATTCTTATTTTATTGGTTTACTTTAGACCGGGGTCATTGTTGGTGGGGTCCTCCTTCTGGTGGTCGCTGTTGCTGGTGTGGTACTGGCGAAAGGCTCTTGGAATTCAGACGTCACCCTTCTGTCCATCAGTTTCATCTTTCCTTTGATCGGCCATGTCATGGGCTTTCTGCTGGCACTTCTTACCCAACAATCTTGGCAAAGGTACAGTTAAATTATCATTACAAATTGGGGCATGTAATTTAGAAATACTGTGAAGTATTAAAAGTGATAATGCTCCATGTTGGTATGTCTGTAATGAGACAAGTGTTATCACACAAGGATGGAGGGGACACAAATCAGTATAAACTCTGTGGAAGGCAATTTAGTATCGTATCAGTAGCCTTATAAGTATTTATAGTTGTTAACTCAGTAATTTTACTTTTATAAATCTGTTCTAAAGCTAGCACCATCAGATATGCTCATGAATATTGATGTGCTAAGATGTTAATTGCAGTGGTTTTTATAAATATAAAAAATGGAAAAAATTTAAATATGAAACAATAGGGAGATATTTAATTTATGATGTATTCATGTGATGGATATGGTGCACTAATTTTAATGAATTACAAAATACTTAAGATATAAATTTAGATTAAATAAGAATAGAAAATGGCATGTATTTTGATTCCCACTTTGTAGAAGAAAGTGAAAAGAGCTCTGTGCATCAAAAAATTGTAGAAGAAATACACCATATGTATTTTTTCTAAGTTTTTCTATAAATGTGTACTACTTTTAAAATCAGAAAAAAATTATTAAAGAAAAGTAAACTATGGGGCCGGCCCTGTGGCTCACTCGGGAGAGTGCAGCTCTGGTAGCACCAAGGCCGCGGGTTCCGATCCTATATAGGGATGGCCAGTGCGCTCACTGGCTGAGCGTGGTACGGACAGCACTGTGCCGAGGGTTGTGATCCCCTTACTAGTCAAAAAAAAAAAAAAAAAAAAAAAAAGTTTGGGAAGGGGGGGGGATTATTAAAGAAAAGTAAACTATGGGGCCGGCCCTGTGGCTCACTCGGGAGAGTGCAGCTCTGGTAGCACCAAGGCCGCGGGTTCCGATCCTATATAGGGATGGCCAGTGCGCTCACTGGCTGAGCGTGGTACGGACAGCACTGTGCCGAGGGTTGTGATCCCCTTACTAGTCAAAAAAAAAAAAAAAAAAAAAAGTAAACTATGCAGTTGAATTCCAAAGAGTTTGGGAAAATTTTAATTGGCCTTATGCTACTTCCCATCCATATGGGGAACATTTAGGATTGTACAAGCACTGGGTAAGGTTCCACCCAGTCTATCTCATGTACCTCTTCCTACAACCCCGAGAGGCAGATAGTATCACGAGCCTCAATATACTGAGGAGCAAACCCTCCAGAGAAGTTAAGCAACTTGACTAAGTTCATGGAGCTAGAAAAAGGTGGAGTTAGGATTTGAACCTAGATTTGTTTCTGAAGTCAACACTTAGGAACATAGACTGCTGAGAGGTTGAAATATAATTGGGTATGTAGAGAAAGTACTCCTATGGCAAGTGAAGTCAGCAATCTTGTCTTTTTCAAACCTGATGGCCTGACAAAGATCAGGACTGCGATGTGCTTTTGCCCTGTGAGTGGAGCAGATGTGAGTTCCATCTTTGTAGCTTAATCACGTCAAGTTATTGAAAAGGGTCTGAAAGAAGGAAGGATAGTTTGAGGAAAGTGTAGCAAGCAAAAGAGTAAGTAGAAACAAAGTGTGAGCCTCAGAACTTGCCCTGTGCCATCGATAATATTTTCACCCACACACAACACACCTGTTTCCTCCACATTCCAGTCCAGCTTGCACATAGATGCTAGTTTATCCTCTGAAACGCCTCTTTCCTTCCTTTACTTCTGTGTATAAAAACCTGCAGGCTCCCTTTCTAAACTGGAGTCAGATAAAACTGCTTACCCCACTCCCCAAGGTCCTGCCCATGTCTCCTCCTCTCCCCGCTTTCTTTTTCAGGTGGGGTTTATTTCATTTTCTACAATCAGAAAACCAATAAAATATAGAAAAATAGAAAGTAGAAAAAAAATACTAAACCCTTTCACCAAACACAACCATTTCAGACACTTGGGTTTCTTATGTGTGTTTGTTTTCAAGTGCTGTTGAGTTTCTGCTGCTTCATATCTCAGCCTTCCATTCTCCTGTCCTCCAAGCCTCTGCCTGTGCAGATTGGCTCACAGTGTGTGCGGTGCCTCCTGAACAGGCCATGCTCACACCCGCCCCTCATACTTTAGTGTCTATTGTTTTTTCTCAAATTAAATGCCCCTTCCAAGTTTTCCATCCTTTAATCACACTCCTCTGTGAAGCCTTCTGTAATCACTTTTGCCACTTTTCTGAATTTCAACATCTCTCGGTCACACTTTGTCTTGTGTTGTTACGGAACCTTTTCTGTGTGTATATCTTGTCTTTCCACCCAGGTTCCTAGGGCAGAGTTCACAAGGCCCTTCTCTACTGTGCTTCTCAGAAGACGACCCTACAGAGTAGGCACTCGACAAATAACGATTGAATGAGGAACATTTTTAATGGCTTAAGCTCATAGCTTATGTTTACTGTTATACAGAAGAGAAAATTTAAGAATAGTCTCATAACTAGTATGTAACTCTTGAAAAATGTTTAAATTGGCAGATGCAGAACGATTTCCTTAGAAACTGGAGCTCAGAACATTCAGATGTGCATCACCATGCTCCAGTTGTCTTTCACTGCTGAGCACTTAGCCCAGATGTTTATCTTCCCATTGGCCTATGGCCTCTTCCAACTGTTGGATGGATTTCTCATTGTTGCAGGTGGGAGAACCCCCTTTCGCTAGACTTGACTGAAAATTGGTTAAACCAACTTACTGATTTCTTTTTCAATCCCAACTTGGCTTGTGCTGCCCCTGTGACACATTTTTAGCATGATATTTCAGGGGACAATACAGTGCATAAACACTTATTTACTTTGACACAAGTGGGAGTTTCACAGAAATATATAAAAAACCATCTTATAAGTATTAAACAAATATGCTTCACCATAACCAGTGTACTACCAGAACTTAGATTCCGTGACTTGTTAAGACAGGGTCTCCATGAGCATTCATTGATCAAAAAATGACGTTTACCAAACTTATGCATTTATTTGTTATGTCTCATTAAGAGCCTTGAGATCTCCCAAATGCCAAGTTATTTCAATGTTTCTGTGACTAAGACTCGTGCTGAATGGTTGTGAAATATTTTTCAAATACAAAATATAATGCATGTATACAAATAACTATAGACAAATATTGAAATACTATATATATATCTCCATACAGCCAAATAGACATTATTTTGCAGTCAATTATTATGTAAGTTTATAGAAGGTAAATTAGAAGTATACATATATATGTGCATTGTCGGAAAGGCAAAATGTCCACCAAACAGAGAAGGTATCTTGAGACCAAAGAACAAAGCAGGAAGTTCCATGTGGTAAAGCAAAGAATTTTATTAAAGTGTAATGCACAGGATAATGGATCGGGTGGGCTACAACCTATAACCCAGAGGTATAGGTGTGGTTTCTCTGTGCCACCTCCTGGTTGAGTCCAAGTTTACACAGGCAGTTCACACAAAGCAGTGGAAAAAGCCAAGAAGTAATTACTAACTAAGGAACAAGCTAACGTCACTAAGTCCAAATGTCTTATGACAATGATTACTATTTTTGGTGGTCTTGTGACGCAGGTAGCCAGACTGGCTGTTGTCACATCGGTACTTAGTCATTAAGTCCCTTCTTTGTGTGTCAGCAAGCTGTTTCTACCTATTGTTCTAAGTACCTCACCCCTAGTTACTGTATAACTTCTGTGGGCAGGTTCACACAAAGGACACAGCAAGTGTAAGGGCTTCAAGATGGAGTAAGTTATGCTCACAGTGTCACACACGTGCACAAACACACACACATATCTTGGGCCATTGTAAATTTTTACTGTCATCTGGGAACAGGCTCTGAGTCTCAATGATTACTAATGTAACCGATTATATACTGATTACTAATTATTATACACTGATTACTGATACAACAATCAATATTAACAGTGTAAGGAAAACTTGGCGTTTAATTTTCCCGTGAGATGAGAGAAATCCTATCACAATAAAACAGCTGGTCTTAGAGCCAAGTTTTAATTCCTTGTTATGGTGAGACCATGAGGGAGGCATCATGTCTGGCTCATTCCCCGCTACATCCCAGCACCCAGCACAGTGCCTGGCTCTTAGTAAGCACGCCACAGGGATTTGCCAGCTGAATGAACCATCTGTCAGTGACCTGATGAATGTCTCACGAATGGTTCATTACAGACAGAAGAGGGATTCTGATACACTGAATCATTTCATTCCATAGCTTTTTCTCTTTTCACCCTCCTTTTTCCTGTGTGTTTTTACATAAATGATGAAAAGTAAACAAACCCCAATGTATACAATGTCACCAAAGGATACTCGATTCTGATACACTGAATCATTTCATTCCATAGCTTTTTCTCTTTTCACCCTCCTTTTTCCTGTGTTTTTTTACATAAATGATGAAAAGTAAACAAACCCCAATGTATACAATGTCACCAAAGGATACTTTGCTAAAGTGATTTTTAATACTCGTATGTCTTAACACCTAGCATATCAGACATACAAGAGGAGATTGAAGAACAAACACAGAAAAAAGAACCCAGATTGTGCAGAAGTCTGCCATAAAAAGAAATCCACTTCTTCCAAAGAATCCAGGACCTTCTTGGAGGTGAATGAAGAAGCTGCCGTAACTCCTGAGCCATCAAGGCTAATGGATCGCCACAGGGCTCTCGAGCCTGTCGGGCACATCACTTCTTGTGAATAGTGGGGACTTGCTGACCAGACTGGTCCCCTGTCTTCCTTGGGGCCAGTACAGGTGGCACAGAGCTGATGCATGAATGTCATTGGTGGGGACTGTGTGGATATTTAAGTGTCCAATGTTAGAATATTTATATTTTTGTGTGGATTGTGAATTGTGATAGGATGGCATTTGAGAATGTTTTTGGCCCATTTCAGGGAGTTCTTTTCAGGGTTTTACACAACATATTTACTAGTTGTTGTGTGTGTTCCTGTCTTCCCATGTAGCGAATAGTGCCTGGAAGTAGGAAATACCTTCATTATGTGAAGTCACCCCTCACATTGTGCATTTTTATCTAACAAGAGTTAGGACTCAAATAGAGGAGACGTCACCTCATACTGCAGGGCAAGGCACATGACTTCTTGACTTTGGGTGGGTCCTTTGGAGCGCTGGGAAGGAAACACACAGCTCTTTATAATAAATGGGGCCCTTTTCTCAAATGATTGTTAATTTTTAAGGACTTAACATCTTTTCTGATTATAAATGTAATATATCTTAGAGGGAATTTAAAGAATATATGAGGTAAAAAAGTGAACGCCCTGTATTTTCATTCCCTAGAGACAGACACATGTAGATACTTCTAATCTATGTATATACCCCGCACCATGTTAAAACCATTGAGATCATTCCTTATATACTGTTGTGTAAGTCACTTGATGACATATTATGGAATATCTTTACATGTCAGTCTGTGTTGACCTACCTCATTCTTTAGAACAGTGGCTATGTAGAAGTATCCCATTGCATGGAAGGACTGTAATTCATTGAACCAATCCTTATTCATGGGCATTGAGATAGCTTTCAACTCATCAGTATTACAGTGCTGCTACAACCACCCTTGCCCTTGGGTGAGTATTTCTGTAGGCTCACTAACTCCGACTTGACTTGCGTTGCCAGGTGAGCGCTGGTTGAGATGTTGGACAGATTATTCTCTAGTGATGTTGGACAGCAGTCCACAGAGGGCCTGATTTCCCAGTCTCACCAGTCCAAGGAATGATCAATTTCGATTTGTTGAAACATCTCATTTAAAATTACATTAAAAAAATTATGAGTGAAGCAGAGCTTTCTTTTATGATGATTTGCCTATTCATGTCCTTTGCCTACTTTTCTATTGTATTTTTTCCTTTTTGATTTATAGATTTAACGCAACGATAGGGACTATGTTTTTGTCCAGTGTATTGTCAACATTTTACCTACTGTCTTTTATCTTTTGTTTTTCTATATCTTTTGACATACAGAAGTTTTATATATTTACATTTTCAGCTTTATTAGTCTTTTTAAAAATGTTTTTTGACCTTGATATCTGCAAAATATTAGAATATTCATATTTTGTGTGTGGATTGTGAATTGTGATAGGATCCCTTTGTGAGAAAGTATTTAGCACCCTTTCAGGGAGTTCTTTCTGGGGGCTTATATATTTACTAGCTGCCGTGTGTGCTGCTTGTCTTCCCATGCAGTAAATAGTGCCTGACAGTAGGTAAAATCTATCTTTTCCTATTTTGACATTATTAAAAATATTTTCCCATGTATTTTTCTATTACTATTATGGATTAAATGTGCATGTGTTTATTTCATTTTGAATTTATTTTTTTCTCTATGGTGTGTTAAGAATCTAATCTATGTATATACCCTGGACCATGTTAAAACCATTGAGATCATCCCTTATATACTGTTGTATAAGTCACTTGATGACATATAATGGAACATCTTTACATGTCAATATGCGCTGACCTACCTCATTCTTTAGAACAGTGGCTATGCAGATTAATTATCCCAGCATCATATATCGACTCAGTTATCTTTTCTCAACTAATTTGAAATGCAACTTTTATCACATAACTTCCTATGTAAGGTGGTTTTGTTGGGAATCTGTTTGATTCCATTTGGTGTCTATTCTCATTTGTAAGTTTTGAAATATGAGAGAAAGTGTATTGTTTGAGATTTAATGCTTTACAACTTTATTTTGTAAGTATTCCCAGTAACTTGTGGGTTAATTTGATGACAATGACTATTATGGTATTTTCACAACAATTTAGGAAGGCTTTTTGGTAACACAGATAGAACCCCTTTTGGTCTTGGAGTCACAAGCATTTTTTTTTTGGTGTCTGGCCAGTACAGGGATCCAAACTCTTGACCTTGATGTTACCAGTGCCACGCTCTAACCAAGTGAGCTAACCAGCCAGCCCAACGAGTACTATTTATATGGAGAAGAACTGTGCAGATTTGTGACATGATTTTAAATTCTTAACTGTTGCTTTACTACTTGGGAATTCCCACATACACATTTGATAAATGTCTGTGTATTGAGGAGCTAGTCTGAGCTATGTACATGCACATGGGATAGCAGTAATGAGGCAGAAAGGGTTGCTGCCCTTGAGACAAGACCTGGGGATAGCCAAGAGTGACAGCAAGAGACCATCATGGGAGAGGGTCTCCAGTCCGTGAACACCTACAAGGCCTGCAAGAAGTTCAGCGACTGCTACTTGGGTTTCATATTCACCATCATGAGCCCCAACGACTATACGGTATCCAACGTGCGCTGCTGCCAAAGCAATGGCTGCAACCGTGGCTCAGTGTCCCCTCCTCACAACAGACATACTGAGAAGGCCTGATGTGCCTGCCAGCATCCAGGAGACATGCCTAGGGACCCCACTGCGTCTACTTCGCTGGCACCGTGGCAGCGTGGTACTTTCAACACTCAATTTGACCCTCGGAGCTGTGCTGCAGACAGTGCCTGCTATACCAAGGCTGGGCTCAGGAAGCCTCAGCCTTCTCTCTCTCCTCTTCTGTCGAGCAGACTGCCTTCCAGTCCCTCAGCCCCCCGGCAGGGCTGAGTGAAGAACTGAGAAAAGGCTGGGCTCAGGAAGCCTCAGCCTTCTCTCTCTCCTGTCGAGCAGACTGCCTTCCAGTCCCTCAGCCCCCCGGCAGGGCTGAGTGAAGAACTGAGAAATATGTGGACTCAGGTCCCCATTTGTCCTCAGCTCCCCATGTGATTATAAATTAAACAAGTAAACAGAAGAAGAAAAAGGAGGGTTGCTGCCCTCGTGGAATTGATAGTCTAGTGAGGGAATAGATCGCTGCAATGAACATGGTCAATAGAGTGAACAGAGATTCCCACATCTGAGTATTACCATGAGTTTTAAAGAATCCTTAAAGAACGACTTCCTAAGTTGTTTCTCTACAAAGACACCTAACACAACATGGTAAAATCCAACACTGTTCTGGAAGCATTCACAATATGGTCAGTATTTACCATAGGCAGGACATCCCCAGGATGAGGGACAGGTAGGTCTTACCACAGGCCATTCTTTAAGATAGAAACAACACAATTCAATGTAAGGCTTGAAAGCAGTCCTGTCAGAAGACTGCCTCCTCCATAGATGGTTGCGAATCATGTTACCTGTCAAGGAGGCCATTCATCACCTTTGGGACATAGAATATAACTAAAAAAAGAGCTCTAATTGAGTAAATTGCAATCTAACTGATCTACATGACCATGAGCCTTACATAAAACACAGAAGTGGGGCCAGAGGATTAATGTTAAGTAGAACAAGTCTAGCTGTGTCTGGAAAAGAGCCAGCTGGATAATCATCACAGCATAATATAGAGGAAATAATCTGGGCTTCGCCAGGGCTACCTGTTGTATTCCACCTAATAGCTAGGATGCCTGTAGAATGGTGGGTTGAAGCCAGTCAGACCTGAAACTGAATCCTTACTTTGGTTATTTGGGCAACCTTGGGCAAGTGACAATCACTCTGGACTTGTTTCCTCTCTAAAAAGGGTGATAATGCATTCAATCCTATACAGCCTGAGTAGGTAATGTGAAAAAACCTGATACAATGCATGAGAAGTTATCAGTGTTACGCCCCCTTCCCTTTTCTTGTGCACTCACAAATACCCCTCATGTTGAGGGTCATCCAACCTCTAGGTAACCTCTGACCAGCCTTTGCCTGTATTTTGCCCATGAGGAGGAGCCCTGCTTGAATGTCCAGGATTCTCATTCTGCAATACATAATTCCCTTTTAAGCTAATACATTGGCAACATGATTTATCATTCAGTATCCTGACGGTTTGCTTAGCATGACATTTGGGTAATGAATAAAATTTTGTTTCTAAACCTGCAAAGCTGAAGACTACTTTCAAATACTTTCTATTCATGAGTCTCTTCAACAGTTACAAATTCAGATACTTCTGCAGCAGGAAGATCTTAAAACACTGACACAGTGTTAGCTACTAAGAAATGGAAACCGAGGCTGAACTGGAAAAGCACACTCTGCTTGCTGCTATGCAGTATCCATTGCTTTCTTTGTCATTATTAACAGAACCAAGAGTTTGTTTGGGACAGCAGTATCCCTGGCTAACAGTAACTTTCTTGAAGCTAGAGGTAGGCATGTGACACAGTTTTTGCTAATAACATAGAAGCAGAAGTCTACTAGTGATTTCTGGGAAATTTTCTTTCTTGCCTTAGGCACTGACTGGCACTTTCTCCTTGTCAATTTCTATTTTCCTTCTGGAATGTGGATGTAATAGCTGGTGCTGCAGCAGCCATTTCCAGACCATGAATACAAGGCCAGGATAATTACAGAGCCGTTGACATTCTTGAGCTACAGAATCAACCCCAGAACTGCCTACTTCTGAACTTGTTTTCTTTTTTTTTTTTTTGTCTTTTGTCTTTTCTCCGTGTCCGGCAACGGATCGCAACCCTCAGTGTTGCCCCCGTACTGGACCGGGGACCGGCAACGGGATCGCAAGCCTCGGTGTTGCTCCCGCGCCTCGCTCAGCCAGTGAGCGGGAGCCGGTCTGTATGTGGGATCCGAACCCTCGGGCGGGAGCGCCGCTGCGCTTCCCAAGCGGCGCACCATCCAGTGCGTCACCGGGCCGGCCCTGAACTTGTTTTCTTAAGGAAAGAAAATAAATCTCTAATTTGTGTAAGTTGTTTGCTTGGTTTTCGGTTACTTGCAGTCAAATACAAGGGTACTTCAAAAAGTTTGTGGAAAAGTCAAATTGAAAGATAATACAAATCTTTTCATGAAGTACCCTTGTACAATCCCAAATTGATATATTAAAATTTAAACTGGCCTAAAAATATTATGCAGGCCAGACCATAATTTGTTATGTTGATCTCCACCATAATAATGTTCCTTGAATATTTCTGAGTTGAGTAAAATAGGAACACATTCTGTCACTATCAAAATGTCTACTGGCCTAAAAATATTATGCAGGCCAGACCATAATTTGTTATGTTGATCTCCACCATAATAATATTCCTTGAATATTTCTGAGTTGAGTAAAATAGGAACACATTCTGTCACTATCAAAATGTCTATGACTGGAAGATAGCTGTGGTAAGCTGTTCTTTTCTTGATTTATCACATTACATTTAGATAACTAGGCATTTTTAAACCAAGAGATTTGGCAGGCTGTCTGGAATCAGAGATGTAAAAAATCTGATCTTTTCTCAACAGCCATTTCTCTACTGTTTATGATAATTCAGAAATATCTCTAATGACATCTACCAAAGTTTTGATTGGGGATAAAATTATGTTTTAATCCTGCAGTGCTCAGGACTGTACTAAGATACATTCTTCTACAATATGCAATTGTAGTTCAGTTTTATAGATATGCTCCATTACAATTTGTGTTTCCTGTAGCATAGATTGTCACGGGGAAACAGCTGCTCTAACTACATTTTCCAGCTTTCCTGTACTCAGGGGCCATCATTGGGTCAGTTCTTGCTGATAGAATGAGTGGCAGTGATGTGCTTTGTTTCCAGGCCCGGCCTGGCTCACAACACCTCTCCGTACCTTTTCTTGCAGGGAGAGTGGAGGCAAGTCCCAGGATGACCTGGGAAGCCAGGTGTTGTGACTTCCATCAGAGCCTGGGTTCCTAAAAATTGAGGGAAGGAGAGCTGCCTGCTGAACTGTTCACCTGCCCACAAGAGTTAGATCAATTAGAGATAAACTATTATGTTTGAGCTTTTAGATGTTTTGGGGTTATATCTCCTAATACTCAGCTAATACCTAGTGTGTTATGAGCTGAATTGTATTTATGCATCAGTTTGATATTTGAATGCATCCATGTGCCACCATGGCCATGTCCTCACCTTGCTTTCTAACCAGAGTGGCCCTAGCAAGTGGTTCTTACCATTCCATGGTGTTGGAGCCAGTCCCAGATGAGGGCAGTAACTTGTTTATTACAACGTTTCCA